TAACTTTTGTTGACCTGATCATCTATATGAGGGGTTACCTACCTTTTTAAGGCTGAGGGCTACTTCATGGGTACTTAGTCATAGGAAGGGCTACCAGTACTGTTCTATTAACTTGATGGGTCAGTGATTGCCTAAACTTCACAGATAAATAACATATTTTTATTGTTTTATTTTATTTCTAACCTTCTTTTAGATATTGTAATTTTAAAATCTCTATTAATGGTTATATGCTCTATCTGATTAATATGATAAGATGCTCGATAAATCATTAAAAACAGAGATCAACAGAATAAAATACATTGCATGCTTGGTGGTGGTGCATGCTTCTTATTTTACAGATCCTTTGTGCAATTTATGCTGAACAGTAAGATTATCATACCAATATTTGCATACTGTAGGAGAAGAACAGGATTATTGCAAACAGAAACCTGGGACTGGATTTAAACATACAACCTAATTGGTTTAAGGTGAAAATGCTAAAAATATTGCCGCTTAAATTTTTTATCTGATTATCATCTATTGTGTTTTTTTTTTCTTTCTTTCACAAAAAAAAGAAATGTTCCTCTTATTGCATTTTTCAGTTTACATGTTAGAAATGTTAGAAACTAGGTATTGTTTATTTAATGCTTGGATATTCTTTACATGCAATGTAAAAATAACATCTTTAAAAACAGAGAGGGAAAAAAACAAAACCCCAGACTTCTCATAGACGTATAAACCGGACGCTTCATTATTTCAAAATGTTTACATCCGACATTAATGAGTGTTTCCATACAGATGTGTGCTTACTACAGAGGCTGCTGCTGTAAGCTGACACCTCCCTCCAGTCCTCTAAAACCATCAATCACTTTCTAGACGATTGGTATGTCTCTCTTTAGGGCCTGGAATGTAAAGAAGCTCCCAGGTTGACCTATGGGGAAGACTGACGGAGAGAAGAGAGGGGACATCCGGATTTATTACACCATGTTCAGCTTTTACTTAGATGACTCAGCAGTATCAGTGACTCACAAAACTATACACATTTTACACACTACAGTCATGTTTTTTTTATGAATCAATCCAAAACATATTTCTATAAATAAACATTGACATATATCCTTTCCAATTTGAGTGAAGGCTTTACAGTGACCCAGTTCTTGACACTTCCCTTGGTTTGATTCCCATGTCTGCATTTGGTTTCTGTCATGATCTTTGGATATAAGATTTTCCTTTTTGTCATTACTTCTCTTAGTTATTCTGTCCTATAAGGTATTACCAAAAATAATTTTTTTTCTCTCTGCTGATTATATCTAAAGATGTTGTTTTCCTCTGATTATCACAACAGCTTCCATTTTCATTCTCCAGACTTCCATATTTAAAGTGTAACTCACCCCCAAATCCAAAATTTTAAACAGTGTAAACTGGATCTTTAAAGGTGCTCCTTTAGTGTTACTGTGCATCCTTTTACACAATCTTGTGACATTTTTATTTCCGCAATATTTGTCTAGAAATTACCTCATCGCTGTCAAAGGGGTTAAACTGTGGCTATTTCAATTTAATTCCCTTATTGGTTCAAACCACTAATTCGTCACCATGGGTAGTTTGGATAAAAAGGCTGCCTGCTCAGACATAGGCCTACCCAGAATATCATCCTGTCCTCTGCTGCCTCAGCAGTGCCATCTTGAGGCATCGCTGAGTCATTGCCTTGAACCAGGTAGCTCAAAATGATAAGGCTTTGGCACTCTGGGCTCCCAAAAAATTTCCCCAACCTCCAGTAATGAGGGAGATGAAATTTACTCCATTTTAAAAGATCTATCGATGGCATAACCACTAAACCAGCATCCTTCTGCTCACTTATGCTTCATGGCTAATTGTCCTGACCACCCATCCCTCCACTTCGCTCAAGTCCCCCACCCATCGCTACCTCTCCAGATCTCTTGACACTGACCAATTACATGGCATTTTTCAAAACTTGTCTCTGGGTGGAGTTATGCTATTAGACCGGGATGAATTCCACTTTAAGTTCACTGTTGGCTATTGTTCCCTTTAGACTTTCCGTTATTCTCCTAGTTTTATTGCTGCCGACTCTACTTGTGCTTTATGAGCTGTTCTCCTCTTCATTATGCTCATCCCACGATCCTGACAGTAAGTGAATGTTCTCCATGTAGATGAATGGCTTTTACGCTTGGTATGTCATGATTTTAATCAAGAGCTCGGACCCACATGCAGAAAACTAATACAGAGAGACCAGGGGAAAGTTTAACAGGTTTATTGAGAAGATTGTGATGAATCCAGTGAAGCTCTGAACACTGCTAAACCGGAACTGGAAAGTGAGGGGAAGACACTGCGGTTAGTTCAGGCTCAGTGGGAAATTTGATTCTCGAACTTGAAGAGGAGAAATAGATTTCAGACTCACGTTTCCAGAAAATGGCTGACTCTTTGACTCCAGTAGGTGTGGGGTGTTCCAATGTTTGTCTCATTCGATGGAGGGTGGACAGGGTTTACCCAGAATGTGGTTGTTTGTAGGTGAACGGAGAAGCTGACTGCCACTTAGATTTCCTGCGGTACTTGAACGGGTTGCTCAGAGAGAAGCCCCAGACATTCCTTGGGGAAATGGGTTGATCAGAATCACATCCTTGAATCCTTAGCTCAGCTTGATTCTCAGAAGATCCTTCCAGGGGAGAGAAGGTCCAAAACATCCAGTTGCAGGATGACTTCCTGCCGAGAGGCAAAGACAAAACAACAAGGTTAAAACTCAGATAGACAAAAACTCAGTTTGACTCAGCAAAACTCAGCTTGGCTAGAGTACCCAAAACTGGCAAACACTCTGGCATCAAGGTAGTGGCAGTCAGCAGCTTAAGAGCACTCCGTTAACGAGGTAACCCTTGTGAGGAGGTGAACCAGGACCAGGCGCCACCTGGTGGAGGAAGGAAGACAAACACACAAAACACAAACCACACAGACAGGAGTCCTAACATGGTAAAGCTCAAAAAATTACTCTAAGATTAACTGGGCATGCTATGTTAACCTTAGGTGTGAATGTGTGAGTGAATGGTTGTTAGTTCTGTGTCTCTGTTACCCTAAGATACAGTGAAAACCGGCCACAGTGTACCCGCCTCATCTGATGACCACTGGAGGTTAAAGTGTAGACCATAGACAGACAAAAAGATTTTTAGAACAAAAAATAAAATGTACTACTAAAAGAAAAATGCAAGTAGTATTTACCTAATTGAAGAAATGGGCAATTCCTGTAGATAAATACCTCAATTGTAAAACCATTAAATTTAACTGAGATTGACTTTTGCCAGAAGCTCAGTCTTTGTCTCACTTCATCGAAGAATAAAGGTTTAGTTAAAGTCCAAGCAGAGTGATGCAAACTTTCCATATCTGATCTTAGCATGATAATTTCTAAGAAAGCAAACTTTATGGCTTCAAGATGTTTGTTGCAATTCTTTAAGTTTAGAAGGTTTTTTCTTATGTCTCTCACCATCCTGTGGCTGTCCATGGTGGCAGGACAAATATGGGCCTATGTCTAGACCTATGATATGTGTCTAAAAAAAGGTAGTCTGTGTTATATTTGACCCTAGAAACGGGAAGTCACTGGTAAATGATCATGAGCTCATCGAAACTCTGCTTAACATAAAAAAGGGTGGGATTTCATAAAAGTTTTCATTTTTTTATTTGCATTCATTTAAAAAGGGCTATTAAACATACCTATCTTCGTGGCAAATGGGACTTTCTTGAAAGCCTTTTTGTTTTCAGTTTTCTTTAAAGTGAATAAACTATCAAAATCAAGGGTGTAATTATTCTGCACCAGAGTAAAACTACTAAAATAAAACATTGATTTATTTTAACATATTTTAGTCATCTTTGCTGGGATCCGTCTTGATCATTACTTTGCTTACATCTTCTTTATAGTAGAATACTGGGATCCTGCTTCAACATAGTGACTGAATAACATTGTGGTTTTACTCCTGGAAAACAGGAAGCCATGGTGTAAAAATGAAAATAAATAAATAGAATAAACAATAGAAATAGATCAATTTCAAAACTAAGTTAACTGTTTAGTTGGATACATTTCATAGGAATGATTAGTGCCACTTGTGATTTTACTTTTTGTCTCTTAATTTGGGACGTTTTGCCTTATTGAATTAACACAGTTGAATCAGGGTTGTATTTCAGATTATTCATTATTCATTAACTTAGAATACTGTTACTTGAAAACACAAATTTTAACTGAATGGTTAAAAAAACCTAGGTGAGGTTTAAAACTTTTTCGCAGTGCTGTAACAGGCCTTTAATATATACACTAGCAGCTTAGTTAGTTCTCATTTTTAATTAGTCAGGGTTAACCACGTCTGTGTTTAACTTCCGTAGCAACACTGTTTCATTTAAATAAAGTTTGTGTTTCCTGCATGTTACTCTTCACACAGAATCAAAATGTTATGGTGTAATTGTGTTGATAAAGAAAGAAATACTCTAAACAGAAGCTGCATTTAGTGGTTCTATATTTCCCTTATCTTGTCCCTGCAGCTCCATCTGCTGGTCTCCACCTTCCATGGAACGTCAGCAAGCTTTTCTAAAGTTAGTCCAAAATGCCACCTTTAGCTGCATTTCCCCAAATGATTTCCTCACAGCTTTAGGTAAGGGCTCAGTTAATCTCTATACAGCTCAAACACTTTCAATTAAAAACATATTGTTTGCTTTTTGAAAAACAGATAAGAAATAAATACTTTTTGCCAATAATGTCTCCATCTTCTTTTTGTTTTTAAATAATTTTTTTGCCTCAAACTTTGGACCTTTGACATGCAAGCGTCAGTTATTTATGGACAAAAGCAATAGCAACTTCATGGAATAATCTATCTTGGTCCTGAATGACGATATGTGAATGGGATGGTATTACTATCGTATAGTGGTGCCATTAGGCAACAGCAGTTGAAAAAAAATTGCGTTACCACAACAGAAATAATTTACTCCAGTCAGTTGCTGGGGCACCTGACAGTCAAAACAGTAACTTATGATCATGATTTTAGTTTTTATTTTCCCAAACAACTTATTATGCAATTGGCTTTCAACTCAATTGGTAATAAAATTATGGATCAATCAAAAAATTTGCAGAAGTATTTTTGAACATCCAAACATACTTAACACTGCTTGGTAAATACTGCAAAGAAAGAACAGAGAAGACACATTTAACCTGCCTTTAAAGAGGTGCAAATGCACCAAACACACTTTCTGCTTCCTATATCTAACAAACACAGCTATGCAAACACATCACATCACATCAGCCCTTTCATACATCTAGTAAATGTTTTAAACTGTTTAACACTGAACATAAAATGGGTATCACAGCATAAACCAATGAAAGTCTGCACAGTAAAACTCAATGCTTCAGTTAAGGTTTAGTTCCTGTTTGACACTCGTGAATAACTTATATCAGTTCCCTTTAAAAAGGTTTCAGTCCTTTTTCCATTTTTTTTTTAGCCCAGATCGATAAGATCTTTTTCACTGTGGTTCTCCTCTGTTTGTCGACTCCTCAGCCACTCTTCTCTTGCATTTTGAACCTCCTTGCCATAATAGGCATGCAGTTTGCTAAACTCCACCAGTGGATCGGACCCCACCAAGGGCCATTCGCCATATAGCGGTGCAGGCCCGTTAAGTGGTGTCACATAAGCATTTCTCCTCGGCCATTTCTTCGGGGACTTTTTACCTGCCACTTTAGTTGGTAGTGAGCGTGGCGGTAAAGCAGCAGTGGCGCTGAAGCTTCTTCCCTCCCTGACCACTGCTGAGGGGCCAAGGGTCGGTACCAGCAGGCTGTTTGTTGGTGGACTAAGGGATTTGAAAGAGGAGCTGGGGACATTAGATTCTTGTTGCTGTTTAGCCTCTGCAGAAAAAAGAAAACATAATTAAAAAGTGTTGCTCTAAGCTTTTTAGAGGGATATTTTAGCATGTAGTAAGGGATTTATTATTTTCCCATATCTGCACAATATTGAAAACAATGAGAATCTTTAACATAATCCCTGGACATTCCTGTGTAGTCCTGTAAAAAAAAAAAAGTACCCTTATAAATAACGAAATAAAGCTGAATATAGCTGACATTTTTCATGATGTCCTTTGTTGGGGGTGTTGTAATTACCATGCAAACCTTACTTTGCTCATGTCGCAAAAACCTACCAGTCCTGTTTAATATCAGGCAACAACTGCATCTCTATACTGCGAAAACAATCTAGAAAATAAGTAAGGCATTCTTAAAATAAGGTGTATTTACCCTTGATTTAAGTAGTTAAATAAGATGATTGCCAATTGAATTAGTATTTTTACTCTTAAAATAAGATAATTAGATAACATTGCATTAAAATAAGACAATGCAATTCTTTTTTCTTATTTTAAATGTAAATTTATCTTTGGCCATCTCACTTCCTCAAGACAAAATGCACTTATTTTAAGAAAATAAAAACGTATTTAGATTTCTTTTTTTTTTTTGAGTGTGTGTTGTAAAATAGCACAAGTAAAATACTAATCAGGCCTCAAATTAATCTAAAAAATATAGTCAGCATGTTATTTATTTATTATTTTTTTTACAAGGCAGCCATATTAAATAATAGTCAACACTGGCAGAAAACCTTGTTTTGGTCTTTCGTAGTTGTGATTCTATTTCCTGAGGGATGATCCAGATAATATTACAAAATTAAACCTGAAATATTCCTACTTCTTAGATCAAATTAATAGCATGACTTATTTCCAGCTTTGGAAAATCAACTTAACATCTCCCGATGCTGTTGGAAATCCAATATGGCTGCATTAGACATAACAAGTTGTGATATCTGCACTACTAAGCTTTTCTTTTTGCACTTTGCCAGTTCGTGCAACATTAAATTGTTTGCACACATAAAACTATACATCTATAATTTATGAGTGAAAAGGAAAAATGGTATTTTGCAAATAAGCTTGCAAGGGCTGATATCTTGTAGCTTGACCTTACTGTTAAACTAAAAGCAAACAAAACAAAAAACAACAATAAATCCTGTCATAGTTACAACTTGGACTCTGACTGCTAATAAAAAAAAAATCCTGATATTTTAAATGGGGAACCTGCATATTTGGATCATTGACTAGCAATGACTGAAGGAGGTAATTATGCTTAAGATATCAAACTGGAAAAGTCTAAAGACCAAAATAAATATATATTTTTATTAAAACTATTTATTTTTTATGAATAAAAAAAGAAACAGTGAAGAGAGGGATTGAAATAATACAGCAAAAATGACCCATAAAAAAATCAATAACCTACATAAAGTTCTGACGCACCTTCATACTGCCTCTCCAGGTCTCTCAGCAGACAGGACAGATAACAGTGGCTGGCAAGGAACAACGCTTTCATCCAGCGCCCCTGAGTCTGAGCATCTCCTGCAGCAAACCTGTAGGATTTAAATCCAGCTCCAAACTCCAGGGAGAAGGGAAAATACCCATCAGACTCCAACATCTGAACTGTGCACCCCTCCAACACGATGACACCCATAAGGTGTCGATCAGCAGGACGCTCCTGGTAGAAGAGCAGGTTAGCTTTCAGGACAAACCACCGTCGATAATAGGTACCATTTCTCTCCTTCTGTGAAAAAAGAGAAAAATAAAGGAAAAATGTTTTTCATATGATTAAAAGCTGATTGGAGGTTTGAATTTGATTGTATTCCAGAACCTTTTTATAGAGATATCCCTCCTTATCCACCGGAGAGGTGCACGATAGAAAATGGGTCAGAATCTTCTCATGGAGCTTCATCCTGGCTCCTAAAAGACAGAAAGTGTGCTTCCATTTGATGTATTTGTAGCAGACAACACTATTGGTTTTCAACCCAGAGATGGTTTGAATTATAAAAAATTAATTTTTAATACATTAAGCTTACACATGTCTGGTAAAAGTCAGAACTATTTAATGATTATCAAATAAATAAAAGTTTTCCCAATTCTGAAAAGTAAAGAGTCAGATATTGCAATTAGTCTCAACATTGTTTGGGGAACTCTGTTTTTAAGAATGGTTGCTTATTATTTTATTTTGTGTAAATATTTTTTTAAATAAAAATGTGTCATCTGATCAGTTTTGATCAGATACCGACTTTATTTTAGCCTAAATGAGTAGGCCTTATATGCAGATGTCAGCGATTCACAGTGATATAATAAAATGGGCTTTTAGTAACTGGGAGAATTGAACAATGGATTTTTATTTTGTAAATTGTCGGTACAGGCATTAACTGTGCAAAATTTAACTGGGCCTTAAACCTCATTGTAGAAAATCACAACAGTCGACTATATTATATATAAAACTATAAAACAACAATGAAAATCCCATCATCTACACTGATACTGTATATGACAGCTATATAATAGCATCTAAAAATATTACTGCATTATTGAATATTGCATTATTTATATATAAGCTCAGACTATTTGCTGCATCCTAGTCAGCACATGAGCACACAGCTGTGGTTTATACGTGTATATGGATACAGACATATACACATATATACCTAGTGTCTCTGCCCTAAGCTGATGGATGGCATTATGTTGAGGAAAGATCTGATGAAAAAATGCTTACAATACTGTTTTGTGATTTATTTTATATTAATAGGGATATTGGTGAAATCTGTGGATACATTGACCCATACATGCACTACTGTATATTTACAAATGTATTGCTCACCCATTCAAATGATTAGAATCAGGTTTTCCAATCACTTTTATGGTCACAGGTGCATAAATCAAGCACCTAGACATGCAGAGCATAGTTAGAAATATTTGTGAAAGAATAGGACACTTTTAGGAGCAAAATAAATTCCATTGTGGAACTGTGACAGGAAGCCACCTGTGCAACAAATCCAGCTGTTAAATGTCCTCCCTTGATATTCCACAGTCTGCTCTCAGCTGTATCATATGTAATTGGAAGTGTTTGGGAACAGCAGCAACTCAAGCCACGAAATGTCAAGTTAAATAAACTGAGGGTGACGGTCAGTCTATGCTGACCGTGTTATTGGAGGGCAAATATAATTTGAGCGAAAAGGCCCAATTTTTGAAAGCAAGTAAAAATAAAAAGTTTAAACCACAATGTTTTTGTCTAAAAATGAGATGAAGGTTTAAATCAGTCTTTAATAGAAAAGCATTTCTGTGTGAGGTTTTTTGCATTTGGAACTGCAGAGCTATAGAATACATGCCAAACACTACAAAAAATAGAAATTTAAGTGTATTTTTCTTGAAATAAGTGTACTTTTACTTAATTTGAGCAGGTAAGTATGATAGTTTGCCAATGGAATGAGATTTAAGAGGTTTAAAATTAAAAAAGACCCAATTACCTTAATTCATAATCTATTATTATATATCTGTTTTAAGGAGAAACATACTAATTCAGTCTGCTCTCAGCTGTATCATATGTAATTGGAAGTGTTTGGGAACAGCAGCAACTCAAGCAACGAAATGTCAGGTTAAATAAACTGAGGGTGACGGTCAGTCTATGCTGAAGCCATAATGCAAAGATGTAGCCAACTTCTGCAGTCAATCACTGCACACCTCTAACTTTCATGTGACCTTCAGATTAGCTCAAGAACAGGGAGCTTCGTGGAATAGGTTTCCATGTCCAAGCAGCCTCATCCAGGCCATACATCACTAAGTGCAATGCAGAGAGTCGATGCAGTGGTGTAAAGCACGACTGTCACAGCATTCTGCCAAATGTAAATATTTCTGGAATGGGGGTTATGTGTGTGTTTTTTTTTTTTTTTTTGGGAGCTGTGCTTGGCTCAGAATGCCTCTGTATACAGAAACATTTTGCATCAGAGCACAAAGAAAGGTCCATAAAGGCATGGATGGCAGAGTCTGACGTGGATGAAGCGGACTGTCCTGGACTCAACCTGATAGAAAACCTTAGGGATGAATTAGAGCGAAAACTCAGAGTCAGGCCTTCTCGTCCAACATCAGTGTGTCACCTCACAAATGCACTTCTGGCAGAATGGTCAAATAATCCCAAAGACACACTCCTACACCTTGGGGAAAGATTTCCCAGAAGAGCTGAAGCTGTTCTAGCTGCAAAGGGTGGACTGACGTCATATTGAACCCCCATGGATTAACAATGGGATTAACAGCTCAAATGTGAGTCAAGGCAGATGAAAGAATACTTTTGGCAATATTGTGTCTTTAAAAATTGAAAGCTGATAAATTCTTAAAGGAAAAAAAATATCTGGTAAAGCACATTGATAATTTCCCAACTTTGACAAGACGCATCTTTTTAAACTCTTAAAGTGAAATAAAGATTTTGCAACCATTCCCTGCTGAAACTGCCTCAAGTTGCCCCATACATTTAAAGTGTTCCACACTGAATATTTTCAAACACAATTTATAAGTACTGTTTTTTTTTATTCCCCATATCTACATATTGTTAACAATGTTGTGCCTTGATGAAAAAAAAACCCAACCCGTTAATCTAAGCTTTTATTGCTTTGCTTCATTTCTACAATAAATTAAAAAGTAACATATTTGCTCTTTTTTATTCTCTTCCTTTAGTTTTTATTATGATCGTCATGTTAAATGTTTGATTTATGAAACATTTTGTGTTTCTACAACCCTATCTATAAGTTTCAAATCACTTTGATTTTCTTTCTTTTGCTCCCACAGAAACTTCAATTTCTCCTTTAAAAATGTGTTCCCTATTAGTAGCTGATGTTTATTTGATTTAATCTTTAGTTTATTTTGAACTTGTCTGCAATTTTAGTCATACTTTCCCACCCCCTGTTCATGACTATGTCATTAAAGGATAATTTGAAGGATTTAAAGGGACAAATTAATAGTAAACATATACGTTCACACCAATATATATGCAGGTTTTGCTTATTTTTAAGATTCTAACCAAATCCATTTCTTTTTACAAGCACTAAAGCACGTCTAACTTAATCTGATTAAATGCTATAATGTTTCAACTGTTAAAACTGGGATGTAAAAAAAAAAAAAAAAAAAAACATATGCTGCAAGTTGGTATATTTTTGTATATATATATATTTATTCAGAACATATGTCCAAATAAAATCTACATCCAATGTACAATGGGGTCTTTTTTTCTTATTTTTGGAACCTCAAAAGAACAAAAAGGGACAACCAAAAACAACCCCTCCCACTCTCTCTATGTCGCAACACATGTACATGGTAGTAGTATTATATTAAGCATTAACCATATTTTTGAAAGGTCAGAATTAAGAAAAAAGGGCACAACAAAAATATTGGAATAATTGAAACACGGTTAAGATCAATACTGATCAGTCTTCAGGTCTAATCTGGTTAGAATGTCCAAGAAGGGACTCCATATCCGGTCAAATTTAGCCAATGTCCAACATACCAAATGGAGAATTTTTTCAGGAGTTTAGTATAACAATAGTTTGTTGATCCAATGTTTGTTGTTAGGAGGCTCCATAGATTTCCAGTTTTGAAGTATACACTTTTTTGCAAGCAGGTATATTTGATAAAAATATATGTTTTGAACACAACAGAAAATAAAGGAATATCTAGATTAGCCCCAATTTATTCATCAAAGCACATGTTGCAATTCCCTCTGTGTATTTTATTTAACTAAAATGTGTTAGAGACATTATTGTCGATTTGGTAGAAAAATAATTTCCATTGTGAGGAATTTATTGACTAAGAAAAACAACCTAGATATTTCAGCCAATCACCTGTCAGATCCAGTCAAGTTAAACTGTTTGATTTCAGCCAGGCACTGATTGATTTGTCCATCATTATTAATAAGTCAATAAGCAGCAGCAGCTGTGCAACACTTTGTAACCACATTAAAACACTCCTACCTCTGTGTTCCTAATGGATACAAACAGAACATTCTAGGGAGAAATAACTGTCTTCACACTTTAGAAGTACAAGGATAAAAATATTAATCTAATTCTCATTTTCCTTAGTATGGCCACTTAGTCTGCTTAGACTATAGAGAGAAAAGGATAAACAGTGAGTCAGACTTACCTCTGCCGGCGCTGAATCTCTCACGGGGTCAACTTCAGCTGTCTCAGACTCTATACGCTGAATTATATTGCTTTTTTTGCTTCATCCTGTCGCTAATAAAGTTCAAACCAGTTGTTTTAACCTGGCTCCTTCAACCTAACCAGAGTACAGTTGAATATATAGTTTCAGGTTACTAACACTGGTTCTCTCATAGGGACAAGGGGACGGCGTTGAAATATAAATAACCCGACCCACTTCCTGGTAACAATACCCTGACACATTATATTCTCTGTTGAGTCTGCTATGAGCTGATGGGGTTGAACGCAGCTGAATGAAGTCACAGAAAAAAAGGACTTATGATTAGAAGTGTTACCTGGAAGTGAGATACTGAAATGGAGATCTGGTATCTGATGTGCCCCTCTCTGCTCTCTCTCACTTCCTCATCTAAGTTTATTTATGCTACATGTAGGAGGTTGATTCTTCAGGGAAGATAACAGAGCTCTTTTCAGATGTGTTAATATTTATATATGCTGTAAGCAAGATGTCAGACATTTATTGACCTCAAGAAAATATGGCTAACATCCCTCAGCCTGCTGAATCTAATTTTGACGGTCACTCATCCTTTATATAGTTCAGGATCTCAAGGGATTTTGTTAAGACATCAGGACTTGCACAGAAGAATTGGCCATATTGGCCATATTTCGACACAATTTATCATTATCTCACTTTTATCACGTAAATGAAAGAAGAAGAAGCCAAAGATTAGCCCCATGTATCAGGGATCCATTATACTGTTGTCAAATTGGCCTTAAAAACGATATTGGCCTATTTCTAACGCACTGCATCAGATTAAACTAAACCTTCCCAAGTTTTTTTTTTTTTATTTAGAACTCTTTACACCCTTATAGCAGGAATAAAAACTCAAAACATCTAATTGAATTTTGCTCTGTAGCAAACGTAATTTTGTTTTCATAAATTCAGCAGTCAAAATGGTTCAAACCAGCTAATAATCATTGGTGATGTTAAGCATCATAAAATACATTTTATTAAAAAAACTAAGTAAGTATGAAGGTGATGACACATAAATGAGCAAACTTGAACAAGCTCTAGATAGATAGACAGACAGACAGACAGACAGACAGACAGACAGACAGACAGACAGACAGACAGACAGACAGACAGACAGACAGACAGATAGATAGATAGATAGATAGATAGCAGAAATGACTAAAACAGAAATCCCCAATAAAACAGAATAGGTTTTTAAATATTCAGAATGTTGGTGGACATATATATTTATATTCCAAGTATGACAAGTCTAAACACAGAGGCTGTTACATGGTTCTGAATCAAGGTGATTACAGTGTATGAAACAAACTAAATAATTTAGAAAAATTGAAGTAAACAATGAATTTACCCCTTTCTTAGCAGCTACATTTGAAACAAAAATAAAACAAAAATTACACAGATTACTTATTTTAAAGAGTTTGTATGCAACCTAATCAAACCCAGTATCTAATCAGTCTAGCATTTGTTTCTTTCCAGATGTCCTGATCAGATGGCAACATAGATAGGTAAATAAAATAATAAACTCAAGCATAAATAATCAATTTCAATATACAGTATAATAATCGAGTCCAATATTTTTTTCAAATGTTAGTATTTAAATATTGATTTTGAAGATTATTTTAATCTTGTGTCTAAATTCTTTAGAAGAGGATAAATTACCCTTTATCTGAGTGAGCCTTGGAGAGTGTATGGAAGCAAATCGTTACCATATTTCAAATGAAAAGGCATTTTCAGAAATACTTTTTTATTTTAAGAATGTGGCTGCATTGTTTGACTCAGAAATAAAAGACCGTGCTTTTTCATTTTTAAATTTTACATTTCAAATTGAATGTTGGTATGTATTTGCTGGGCTACATTTTGAAAAATAAATCTGAAATGTCTTTTTAATTTTAATTAAGTAAAAAGATGAGCAGTCTTGAAGAAGAAAATGCAAACAGGATTATTGATTACTAATTTCATTTATTAGTCAAACAATGCAGCCACATTCTTAAAATAAAAAAAGAATTTCTGGAAATGCTTTTTTATTTTAAAATTTTACATTTCAAACTGAATTTTGTATGTCTTTGCTGAGATACATTTTGAAAAATAAATCTCAGCTGTCTTTTTCTTTTTCCTTTTAATTAAGTAAAATGATGAGCGATGTTAAAGAAGAAAATGAAGATGCAAACAGGATTATTGATTAGTAATTTAATTTATGAGTCAAACAATGCAGCCACATTCTTAAAATGAAAAAGCATTTCTGGAAAAGCTTTTTCATTTGAAATATGGTGACGATTTGCTTCCACAGAAGTGAAGTTCTATCAGTTTATTAAAAAGGAAAAAAAAAAAGAAAAAAAATGTAGTTTACTTCCACTCCTCTCCAGAGGGCGGCGATAGTAACTCAGCACTTTATTGTTGAAGTTGTTAGAATGTAACGAAGAGGAGCCAAACCGACCGCGGCTAGAATTGTTTTCAGCAGGTTACCTTTTCCTACATATTTTAAAATTTGTCCCCAACATGTGAACCGCATTATATCTGCCGTTTAAATTCTTGTTATGTATTAATCGCTGAAAAGTGTTGAAATTTATCTTCACATATGTCCCATGCGTTGTGTGGTTTTTAGCTAACATAGTAGCATCAGGCTGAATCGTGTTTGTTATAAAAGGACTTAAAATGTTTCCATTTACATCTAAGATATCCTGTAGTGACTAAAGTCCTTCCTTATCTCCTTTCCTAGCGCCATGTCGAAAAGGAAAGTGAGATTTGAGGACGGGAACGGAGAAATTGACCTGGAAGATGACGGCCTGAAGAAAAAGGTGCTTATTTTCTCTAATTTACATTCAGAGTTTTGAATGAGTCTTAAGCTGAAAACATTCCTCTATAAAGCGGGATAAGTCATTAAGGAATTTAGAGCAGATACTTAAACAATATAGTTCTTAAAGCTACAGTAAAAAACCAGTTGTCAGTTAATTAAAGTAATCCTAAACATGTTTATAGGGCTCGGGATCCACGTTGCATTGTGGGACGTCGCGGTCATATTGACGGCTACGCAAACGTAAACATAGCTCTGATACAACGCTGTTGTTGAAAGAAGAGACGTAGAAGTAGAGAGAACAAATATGTTAAAATCCCGAAAAAGATCTGGAATTTACCAGGACACATTAAATAGAGAAGTCACGGACCGGTATGTTGACAAAATCAGCATTATTAATAATTTGGATCCATATGAAGTTCCAAACAATGAGTGGAGCACCGATGAGTGAGCGTCTATACTTCAAAACAGTTCTGAAGCTACAAGTCCTTGGAGTCTCATATGCAGTTCATGAATGGATGGGTTCAGGAGCTGCAGATCATAAAGGCAGCAAACAGTGGGAACACAGTAATCCGTACGAAGGTAAGCTGTGATCAGACGGGCTCTGGAACCTGCTAGTTTAGCAACTGCTAACCGCTAATGCTAACAACCACTCACACATGTAATGTACTTTTAACTAGCTGCTATGTGTTTCAAAGGTGTAGTTAGTAACGTTAACTGCCAACCCTCCGGGTTTCTCACGTATTTGAGCCTTTTCCCGCTGCCATTTTTATTATTTTCCCGTTAAAGATCCCAACTTTGAAGGAAAGAAACAAAGTAGGCTATAAAATAAAACCGTGCATCTTCAACTTACCAGAATGAAAATGCAGGGGACACACTCTCAATGACATTGGAATACTGTGGAAAGTCTTACAGCCGTGATCCAAGCTATTTATCTCTGACGCTTGGTCTCCGTGGTTGCGCCTCCAGGCAGGAAAGCGGTGGAAAGTTAACCCATTTTCTATGTTTTTCCCATGGCGACCAGTGTTGAGCTGTTACAGCCCACAATACAGCAACGGTTTACCATGGTTGAAATCAAGTTAAGGTGAAATTAATCAAATTAAAACACGGCTGAGAAGGAGTACAGTATGCGGTAGTCATAGGCAGTAGTCTGAGCCGCGGTGAAAGAGGCCGTCAAGATGGCAGCAACGCAAAGTGCTTATAATGTGGGGAAGTGTAAATTCTAGTGTTGCTGCGATGCCATTTTTTGGCCCTGATACCCGATACCTGGCTGTGCAGTATCGGTCGATACCGATACCATAATAATGTAAAATAATTGCCATCATGGCTTTGTCAAGCTGCTGCCTACCTTTGTGAAGCAGGAAAAAATCTAATACAAAGTGAACTTTTTATTGCCTACCAGGAGTGGGTGACAATAGTTGAATAAACTTATGGCTCTCAAAATGGTATCGGTGCCCTATTTGTTGGTACTCGCCGATACCAATACCACCATTTTAGGGCAGTATCGGGGCCCCCTCCGATACTGGTATCGGTATCGGTGCAACACTAGTAAATTCAATGAAAATCGACTATCCAGCCAAAAGTTTTCTGCATGGCTAAAAACAGTACCAGGTGCTGTATATGAAGAATGGCTTATTTTCGCCAAGAAGTCATTCAAGCTGGGCATGATGGGGCTCAAAGCTGTGGAGTCAGACATGTGAAGAATGAAAAACAAAGCGCTAAAATCAAGTTACAGAGGAGCAGCAGCTATTTATCAGTTCTTTTCCACCCTTGTCTCTGCAAAGCCTCTACATCAGGGGTAACCAATTAAAAATCAGCGGGGTCCGAATAAAGAAAATCATCAACCAGTAAAGGTGCGGAGACATTTTAAATTATTATCTGTTACTTTAAACAGAATTTAACACTGAAATAAAATGAGGTGTTTATGCATCCATGTTATACATTGACTTTTTACATTAAAAAATTTAAAATCTAAAGTGTTTAAGTAGAGAACAACAATTTTTTAGTTTGGTATATAGACAATTTCCTGATTCACACATTTTATAAAACACCTGAACTGACCATTTGTTTTTTTTCTTTTTTATGGCTTAATAAGAGAGACGGAGGCTTTAGGCTGCCCTGCAAGGATTTAAACCTGGGTTTTATTGGCGACAAAGCCATTCTCAAGCACATATAAATGTGATAATTTTGAGCCTGGATCGATATTAATTTTTGATTATGGTCATGGTGGAGAATCCTGCTTCACAGCAGTAGGTTGGGCCAAACATAGTTAAAATGTGCAGGGTCATCTTTGAGCACGACATTTCACTTTTCTGTCACCAGTTCACCGCAGTTCTTCCAGCAGTCCACACTTTCTTTTACTTTTTCTCATCCTCTTC